GCGTCATGATCTGCACCAAACCCAAATGCATGAACTGGAATCTTAAAACCTGAACCATCCTCAGGGTGCATAGAAACAGGCAGGAGCAACTGGTAATTTGGTTGATTCTGGTTGCCACCAGTATTATTGACAGTATACGTGTCTTGCCCATCAGATAATAATATTATACTGGCAACTGGATTTTTTTCCCTCCGATCTTCCATTATTTTGGAACCTTTTCTCAAACCTTCAGCAATATTTGTCCCTCCACTGGCGACTAAAGAATTAACAGCCTGTAATGCTTGCTGCCGTCCTGTTTCAGACATCCTACGAAGGGGAAAGAGGCGTCTGGCTGTTGAAGAGAAGGCAATGACTGCTAACCTGTCATTGGGACCAAGATTCTGTATCACAAACCCCATAGCTCGTTTTAGTAATGCAAGTTTAGTGCCTGCCATGCTTCCACTAATGTCAAGAACTGTAACAAGATCAACAGGAGCTCGAGGTGTTTGAGAGATTTGGGGCATATTAGCCTGGTTTCCGCCGGGATTCTGCCAAGAGTTCGATGCAGGAGCTTTTAGATTAATCAAGACACTGAATTTTTCTGAAGTGTTTGACTGTGAGACCGCTGGAACTTCCGTAAACGTCTTCATTTTAACTTTTCTTTGTTCGCTACAATCCCCAAGACTCTCGTTTGAAGAGCTTTTCTCAGTGGAGTCAATTTCATGATCCAACAATTCGTCATCATTGAAGATTGCTGGCTCAGGAGCCTGAAATAGTGGTGCAACATTTCTACTAGAATTTGAACGAGGAGGTGGCAATCGACGGATTACTGTCATCAGTGCATTGTTTTGAGGCCAATCAACAGGGTTGACTCTCGCCCTTCTCAGGGGAGGATCCAGGCTCGGACCTTGCAAAGGAATCTCTTTCCACTTTGCTCTACAAATTGGGCAAATTCGGTTGCCGTGTTTCACATTTGAAGTAATACAATGGAAATGAAAGGAATGTGAACACTCGGCAGTGAATATTGCTTGGCCATCTCCTCGTCTCATTGATGTCAAACAAATTGAGCAGGTTTTCTGAAAATGAAAAACAAATGCCAGTGAGAAATATGGAGTATAAAATCAGTTTGAATAAAAATATATCTGACAATGTAAACGATGACCACTAAAAAGGTCAACAGAAAAACATTAGTTACTATTCTGTTAACATCTAACATCTAAAAAAAATAGTAGACATCCACCGATTGAACTATAATAAAATTAAACCATGCCAACATAGCTCAGGAATGCTCACACATTTCACATTTGATGCAGTTGACTACATCCACTGATTGAACTATAAATTCGCACTTGAGAAGTTAAATAATTGATATATTGTGACCTTAAAAATAAGATTTATAGTTTAGTAGACAGAGGACGTCTCATCCTCCGTGAAAAGAAAATTTAATTCTTCAAATACCAAACTTTTCGTTTGTTACCCAAAAGAAATATTTTTAAATTAAATGGTCAAACAAATTGGCTGCAACAAAATATTACTTTTTCCAAAAGATGAGATGCAAAGGTAAGCCTGTAACTTTTTCCTCGTGGAGACAAATCGCGACAAAATTTTCACTATTATCTTATAAATACAAAAAGAAAACAAGGAAATAAAACTATTTACGCAGCAAGATACCTAATTCGCAATCCCCCATTGTCATTAAAGAAGAAACAAAAACCAGTAATAAGTACATGCCAAACAAAACATAAAATACTCCGATATTGCATTTGTGATGATAGACCAATCGAAACATTGATGAAAGTTTGTAAACACATTTGGGTAAGCTTAAAAGAGTTAACTTATAAGTAATAATTAACTTTGAAAATAAATACTTTTTTACCAGTAAAAGTTGAAAATAAGTTATTGTAATAGTAAGGTAAGAGATCTTAAAATCATTAACTATTTTTTACTCAAAAGTAAGAAAAAGGAAGCATATCCAGGCATGTTTTGAACAAAAATCACCATACAGCTTTATTTTTTGTTCAGCTTAGACAAACATAATCTCTAAAGCATCAAACTTTCATGCGATACAGAACTTGACAAAAAAAGACAAGACCATGATTCAGATACCATACTTAGATTCATAGTTCCTTTTCCCCTCAGTGTCTATCATATAAACCATGAATCAGACGCTGCCTTGAATTTAAAAATTGCAAATCCAGGAATAATAAAATTATATAAACACAAAAATGAATTCTTGAAAGGAGAAAGGTGCTTTCAAAGTTTGCATTTCTTTATCCACATCCTTCCCCGCATCCAAACAAGTAGAAGAGAAAAAAATTATATTAAGGGAAATGAGAAAACAGGGAAACTTAAGGACAATATCGGCAGAAGAAGCAAAACAATGACAGAAATGAGAAACAGTCATTTAGATATGAACACAAAAGATACAGATTAGTCATGGTTGTTTCAAAGTTTCAATAAGTGTAGTAGCTTTTTTAAAAAAAGCATATGAGCCAAAAACGCATATGTTTGATCTGTAAAAGGATCCATCGTCTTCCTGCTTCTATATCCTATCAGACACCAAAAGAAACTTTTAACATTTATTTTATCCAGCTACCAAAATTTAGTGAACTAACATAACACACTCAGATTAACCATATAAATAATTGACATTTATCCGCATTTTACGCCAAAGAAAGGTAGCGGATTTCGCCTTCTAAGGGCTCATAATTTTTATCTAACCAGATTCCGTTATTTCTCAGTTTCCAACACATGAAATACTTAAACCCTTCTATTCAATGCATTCATAAAAAACCCAGGATTTCCTAAAATCATCACCCACCTCCATCCATTAGTGATCAATCACAACCAACAGCAATCAACATGAAGAAAAAAGCTCATAAACACATATTGAAACGTATAAAAAGAAAATCAAATAACTAAAGAAATAAAAGCTCAAAGATGCAAGACCTTAGAAGAAGATCTACTCAAGCTCTTGGAAAACTTCAGCCTATTCGACCCGGGCGTCGGCGGAGCTGAGGTCCAGTTCGCCACTGGCGACAGCATAGCAGCGTCTGAGTGTCTATCAGAAGACGGCGGCAAAGATCCATCCTCATCATCATTATCAGCTATATTATTTCTTGGAGTATACAAACACAGATTCAAACCAAGTGCAAGCTTCACTTTCCTCCATTTACTCCCCATTTATAATTTTTTCCCACCTAAACCCCAAAACGAAGCTTTTCAAGAAAACTTAAGAAAATAATGCTATTCTCTCTTGTAATGAGTCTTTCTTCGGAGAGAACAAACAACCCTTCAAGAAAACGAGCAAGATCAAAACGAGGGCTGTTCTTCGAAATGTGATTGTCTTAAAAGAGCAAAAGAACTAGAAAATAATCAAACTTCTTCAAGCACGAAAATCAAGATAGACAAAGCAAGTATTATCCTTGTTCTTGAAATAAAAGAGTAGTAGTAAAAGGTCAGAAATAGGTTGAGGAGAAGTGAAGTTGCTTTACTCTTCTACTTGGCGGCCATGAGAGGGGAGGGGGGCCGGGGAGGGGTGGAGTCGGTTGAATAATGGCAAATGAATGGAGAGACGTGAGCTGACCTTTTGCTGCTTGTTTGTTTTGTGTGCTGTTTGATGGGCTGTGGGTTTTTGACCTTCATTCTCAAAAATAATTGGTAAAAAATATTCTTTATTTTTATTATTATTTTTGTGAACTCGCTATAATTATGTCTATAAATATAGATTAAAATTTGATTTTAATTCTAAGTTAAAATTAAAACTATAAATTTTATGAAGTTCACAAATTTTCAATTACGAATTTTATTAATTTTCATCCAAATTTACTGAAATTTAATTTTATAAAATGCACAACTTTTGTTCTAATCGTTGTACTATGCATTTGTTTATGACAACGCATTAGTTTTTCATATCAATCAAATTGCTTTTTTTTTTTTTTTATGTAAAACCCTTTTCAACTACTTTGTATTCAGTGACCGACTCGAGATATCTAATTTAATTACGATTTTTTTAAACATATATAATAATATTTAAAAAAAAATAGATTTAGGCCCTCACTTGGCTCCACCACTACTTGTATGGTTCGAAAGACATATTTGTACAAATAAATTTAGGCCATCATCAAAAAACAAAGCATGAATCCTAACTCCTGACAAATATTAGTGGAGGAAATGAATATCGTTGATGTTCACGTCATTCATGGATGATTGACGAAACTATGGAAGGGCCAGTTGTTGAAAAAAGTGTAGTATCGGGTTTTTTCGACGAATTTCTTTAATGAATTTGCATTTAATCATGCATTTATCGTATTCATTTCACCATGCTATATATATACGCGCTCGAACTAATTATAGAAGTACTTATAGTCATCTTAACAACGAGATTGCAATATCCATGACTTCAAAATCACCATTTCAATTTTTAAAGACGAGTTTCCATGGAATAAAAATTAAAAGTCTACTATTTGAGATCCAACTTTGTCATAAGACGCACGAAAGTCATATGCTAAGTTTTAGACAATTCAATTCCCTGAAATTCATTTTCTTTCTATCTAATTTCATTCTTACAATCAAACAGACCCTAAGTTCTTGTTTGGTACATCTTAAAAAGTTGAAATCAAAATCAACAATTAATTTTAGTCATATGTTTTGACTTATTATTATGGCATTGTTCCTTTTCCTTTTTGGACATTTTCTTGAATACAAATGATTTCATAAGGTGGCCATGATGACTTATGAGAAGTATTCAAAGGGTCAAATGCTGAGATTTTACTAATCATGTGTTTACCACATGATTTCATCAATACTCCCCAACACACCTGCTCTTCTGTCATCTTCTTGACATCGCCCGCTTTTAATTATCAAACTCTTTGAATTTTTCTCTTCTTATACTTTTCCCCTTTCTTGAAATGACATAAATTTGATATTTTTTTTAAAGTTGGTTCGATAATATGTAATGCATTTTGAATAAGCGTTTCACGTTTTGAGAGAAACTGTAAAATTTTGTCGAAGTCTAAGCACTCGTACTCGACCAATTTTGAGCAAATCAATCCTATTTTACGCGCTTAATTTTTAAGCATATGCAATGCGAAATGCAACTACATAAGTATTAATATCTTATCCTTGAAATGGATTCATACCATTCATTTCAATTCATCACAAAATTTATTAAAAAAAAACTTTTCTATTACGTTTAGTCAAACGTCCTCTTAATCAATCGACATGCCGGACAAAGTATTTTGATTAAGGAGATAACGTTAAAATTTGTCGTATTACTGTCTATTATTTTAAGGTCGTCGAATTCGGCACC